GTCACGAAAATAACATTTACCATTCAATAATAGAACAGTCATCGACCTACTTGCAGTGAATTGAATCTAAAATGTATTCATGGTGTTATGATCTGAAGTGTTTAAAAACGTACACAATAATAGTTCAACCAACTTCAATACCACAAACACAAATGTGCGTGACGATAATTTATTGCTTTAGAAATGTGATTTCAAAAAAGTAGTGCATCGTATACGTAAGGGCTTGTTTTGTTGTTGTTTTTTTTACTTGCAGCGTTTGGGAAATAGGTAATAGGTAAATTGTAATGAATATAATCAATAATATATAGCATCTACAACCTATTATTATTGAAGGGTCCTTTTAAAGTTTAAATAGAATGTTTTTAAAGTTATATTTTTAGATCATTAGACCTATTGAACGAGCCCCCAATAGCCCCGGGCCCCCAGTGCTGTGCACTGACTGTACTGTCCATACCTACGCCACTGGACCTAAGTATTATTAGTGGTTACATAACGTTTGCTATGCACTGTATCATGCGCTATAGAAGTGGAAGACCATAATGTATTGGAAATATACCCCTCTCTCTCTGGTAGGGCCTACAGTACAATCAGTTTAAAAGTGTAATGTATAGGATATTGTGGATTTAAACATTTTCCTAATGGTAATGTTCAAAATAAGTTTGAAGGAAAGTAAGTATGATTGTTGGAAAAAAATGGTCAATATTTTATTTTGAATTCTCACCCTGACCTTCGCCTGGGCGCAGTGGGCGAAGGTCTGGATCCGCGTCTAGTTAGCATGAATTTTGTGAGCCAGGACCCATAGTATTTTGTTACGTTTCTTCCCAGAGTGGGGTTCGTCCGAACCCCCTGAACCCCCGCCCCCTGGATGTGCTAATAGTTAATATAGCTTTTAACGATGCGAAGCGAAGACGAAGTCCCCCAATTTGGTGATTAAATCGGCAATGCCCTGAGAAAACTTCAAGCAACAAATTTAAATGCTTAAAAAAGAAAGTGCATGTTTTACTAGAGTGCACGAGAAGCACACACACAAGACGAGTGACCATTATTTTTTGTTCACGGTAAACAAAGGGGGTGGCTAG